CTTAAGTATCAAAAGTAAATTTCTGACACAAAATCTACTTAAGTATTAAAAGTAAAAGCACTGAGTAAAAGTGAGCAGATTTTCCAAAATGACATTTATTGGGAGGTGACTTCTCAAAAAATATTTTTTTCTAACAGTGTGCAGTTGTGATGGGTTGTGCACAAGCTAATAGGGTGTCATAATGGTATATATTAATACTTCTCATCCAACCACAATTAAATTCACTCTATCCAGGAGACACAATTTATCAGGATAGTATTTTTAAGTAGTAACAACTTGAAATAAAATAGGAGTAACGACTTTCTACTTCTTACCTTTTTTAAAAAAATGTAGTGAGTGGAAAGTACAGATAATTGTGTAAAAATGTAAAAAGTAAAAGTAAAAAGTATGCTGAAAAATAATTACTCAAGTAAAGTACACATACCCAAAAATTCTATTCAAGTACAGTAACAAAGTATTTGTACTTAGCTACATTACAACTCTGTATTATATTATATTTTGGCAGCACGATGGCTCAGTGGTTAACAGTGACGCCTCGTCCTGGGTTCAGACCTGGCGTCTTTCTGTGTGTAGTTTGCATGTTCTCCTCGTGTTTGTGTGGGTTTTCTCTGGGTACTCCAGTTTCCCCCACGGTACAAAAACATGTACAATAGGTTGCCTTCAGGCCCAGGTCTCCCTTAAAAATGAGATTTGTGATATCAATGGGATTTACCTGGTTAAATAAAGTAAAATAAAATAAATAAATATATGTTTATCCAGCTGTTCCTGGAACCCTTTTAAAAAACTATACATTAATGTGATTGGTTGAAAAAGTCAAAAAATCAAACTATTTTTCTCCCATGCCAGAAGGACAATTATTCATTTTACAGTGTTGACAAAAAGCATTTATCTGTGTGTTAGCAAAATATCTCACGAGCCACTGAAGAGATTTTAATGAAACTCTCAAACGACCGATTAACTCACTTGATTCAAAATGGCTGCCACAAAGAAATGCGCTTAGATGACACTAAAATAGTTACAACTCAGTCCACTTTAGAGATCATGACCATAAACAAACCTCCAAGAGATTTGTTTAAAGCCTCAGCATGCAAGGCAGTGGATGATATGAATGCCAGTGTTATAATGGTTTTTTGTGGCATGTTTTTTGCAAAACAACTTGTTTATTTCCTTTTATTCTGAGCGGTATGGTGACTGGTCAGCTAAATATGTACACTTGTGATTTCTATTGTGTGTCAAAAGTGAAGGACAACAAAGGATGTAAAAACAGACATTTAAGTGGTTGCATTCGGAGGAACACGCACCATACTGTGGTCTGTGACGATCATGACCTCCAAATACTTCATCTCCTCAAATACGCTGCGAGGCATCTGCAAAACAAAACAGCAATGATGCGGTGATTTAAAACCTGTAATCTGAGGTCGCGTTACTACCGCTGGTTTTACCGACAGACTACGAGTCATGATCGTAAACACGAGGGGGAAGTAAAAGCGTTGCATAAGTTCACAGGGTGGGTACGACAGAAACGTACTGCTCGCTTTTTCCTGCGCTTCAGCCAGGACCACTCATCGAGCTCTGAGAGAAGCTGTTCATCCTCCACTGGAAACACACACACACACACACACACACACACACACACACACACACACACAC